TTAAACCTTATTATAAGTCTTTTTTAAGCTCTACATATGCAGAAATGGTGCACGTGTTAAGTTTTTTACTCTTGAATGTTTTTTTTTAGAATAAATTGTTTTACTAAAAAATATTGAATTAAATTTTCCAAAAGCTGAGAAGAAATAAAGTAAACGGCTTTATTTCTTCTCAAGAAAATAAAGCAGGCTATTTTGAATCTGATTTCTTCTCTAAATATACTGGGGCTTGCAGTGGTTTGTGAACTTTAACTCCAGTAAAACTCAGTTATTTACTTTATTACTTGAATGATATTACTTTTTCTAAAAAAAAAGTAATATCATTAAATAAAATAAAGAAGAGTGTGACCTTTGAGAAAGACTTTAATACTTTGGTTAAAATGGATTTATTCAATAATCTCAAAAAGATTTTAAATACACTATATAAAATGACCTTATGGAGAAGTCCAGCATATAAAATTTAATCAAAATCTTTGGATATATCAAGAACAATAGCCCAGCCTTGTCCCACCATCTAATACATATGTACATACATATGTACATACATGTGTACATACATACATACATACATACATACATACATACATACATACATACATACATACATACATACATACATACATACATACATACATACATACATCAAGCCTTCATAGGAGATGTGTCTCGTTTGTCCGCAAAAAAAATATTTTATTTAGACAGCTGTTTAGAAGTTTTATATATTAAGCGTTTTAATTCTTTGCAGAAACTGAGTTCAAAAATCAAGAAAAGAAAAAAAAGAAAATAAGGAAATAAAAATAAGTTTTAATAGAAAAAATGAAAAAATCAATATTGATAATTTGTGTAGTATTTTTATTTTTGTTTCTATAGGGTAGTTTTTATTTTCAGTAACAAAATTATATAAGGCAAAAAAAAACAACAAAAAAACAAAAAAAAAACAGTTTTAAGTCAACATTAAAAAGATTGAGGAAAGTGAAAATAAAAACTGCTATCTGTTTGCAAAATATATTTGAATAATTTTAATGTAACAAGTATATATTTTCCCTATATGTTTATGTCTATGCAATATATGCATATATGTTAATATACACTCATGTTGGTTTGTTTGTGTATGCATAGATACTTATCTTTCTCATAGGGCTTACTTTCTACATCACTTTTTAGATTATACAATTAATTGTTTATCAGTATATACATGTTTAGCTTTGTAACAATTTATATTTTCTTTTTTGTTGATAAAAAATCTTTCTGTTGTATGTTTTTGAATGATACACATCGCTTCACATTTAGTATAAGTAAATAATTATTAATAAATCTCTTACTCTAATATAATCTCATTCTTCCCTGAGTCTCCTATGGCTGTATGTATTCCACTTAAGTAATGGTTATCAAATCTGGTTGCGAATCATTAATGTTAATGTAACAAGTATAATAAACGCGAAAAAAAAATCTTTTAAAATACTTAAGTTTAATAACAGACACCCTAAAAAAATAAAAATAAAAACACTACACAAATTATTTAAATTAGTTATTAACTTAACTAATTAAATTATTATTATTTTAAATTTATTTTAGTTTCCTATTTTGTTAGTTATGCTTTTTTTGTTTTTGCCGCAAAGTATTAAAACATTTAATATATAAAACTTGTAAACAACCGTGACCAAGTTGTCTAAATAATAACCTTTTTCATGGACAAATGAGGCGAAAAATTGCACACCTCTCATGGGAAGACTTGTACATGCATACATACATACATACATACATACATACATACATACATACATACATACATACATACATACATACATACATACATACATACATACATACATACATACATACATACATACATACAAACATACATACATACATACATACATACATACATACATACATACATACATACATACATACATACATACATACATACATACATACATACATACATATATATACATACATTTTAAAGCATCATAAAAAGCGATCCATATTTGCTTAAGACTTTTTTTTGAATTACAGGAAAAATATTTCTCTACAAATAACATCTCAAAAATAAGTTCACATTTTTTAACTAATTTACTTTTATTAAAGGAATATGGAAAACATCCAGGAAAAGGTTGTTTCACAATAACCTTTTCCTGTATGTTTAAAACACATTTAATGAAAACAGTGAAAAGCATGTTTCTTTAAATACAGTTAGAAATATTTTACCAAAGGAAAAAATTGGTGTTTACGCAGCGGTTAGATGATGACCAGAGATTGGCTCACAATATTAAGGTCATGTAAGGAGAGAGTAGCAGTATTTATTTTAAAATTAAAAGCAAGTAGTTTTTAGTTATGAAAGTAACTCTGAAATAATAAATAGGAAAAACAAAGTTCTTGTTAAAAGATTTAGATCAGAAAATTACAGTAATTGCTTTGTTGTAAGAGGTTGCAAGGTGGCTGTGGGAGTTTTTGTACTTAGGCCTGCTTTGATTTTAACAGAGTAGGTGTGTGTAACATTTATACAGGCTGAATCAACCAACATGCATATATAGAAACACTAGAGAACTACATGGTTCCATCACTAGATTTGCTTACTGATAGAAAGGAATGGTGGCAAGGGGGAAATTAAGTGATCGTGAATCATGAATGTGCCCAAAACATTTAGTGATCATAAAAGTATATTGTTTAAAGGACTCTCAAGTGTCATGACAAGTTATGTTTATTTTGTAAGTAAACATCAAAAATTAAGTTTTGAGTTTATTAAAATTACCAAAACCGTTTATTTATTGAGATATTAACACAAAAAATTTGTTGTTTTGCCATTATACTTCCAATTGAGTGGTTAATATTAACTTTATAAATCTGCATAGTTTTTTTCCTTTGTAAAAATATCTGGTTTAAATAATAAATGTACAACAGTTTTTAAAGCAATTTACACAATTACACAATTAGATTAGGTTTTCTCCTTTAAAAAAAAAATGTTTGCATTATATCAAACATTTTAGTTTAACTGGAGACTTTTAACAAAATAAAATTGTACTTAAATAAAGATTACCGCTTTTCTACTCTGTTTTGTTTTTATTTCCGTTTAAATATTTTGTTTTCATTTACTGAGAAATCAAATGTATTTTTACTATTTCTTACTAAATCCAAAAAGCAAAAATAGTATTTTCAGTTTTAGGATTTTATTAGCAGAACTTGTTTTTAACAAATATCAGTATAATTTTTAAATTTATATATCTTATATTTATTGCACTAATATTAGTTTTATTTTTTAATTAAAATAAATATGAGTTAGACTTTTAAAGCATTTACTTATTTATCATGTTATTTTTATTTGGTTATAAAAGTTGATTCATTTTATAAAAGGTTATGATAAAGGTATTCTTCTACATAAAAGTAAATTGCAAAAGGAAAAACCCAAACATCATATTTTTAACTTGAGTTTGAGTTATTGGAAAAAACTTTTTAATAATGATGTCATTAACTACAAAAGCGCATTAGTCAGACCAGTATCTTTTAAAAAAAAAAAAAATCAAAAAGCCTGAACTTATCTTCGAGAAAAAAAAAAGGTATTAAAAATTATTAAGTTTTTTCGCTATCTCAATAAATAATTTGTTCTGGAAAGTTTAATTAACATGAAACTTATTTTTTAAGGATTATTTATGATATAACACAACTTATCTTGGCACTTTAAAGAAATTGTAATCAATATTTTTTTATATTCCTGGCTTAAAGTTTTTGTGAAAAAAGGTTTTATTATGTTTTAAAACAATTAGGTTAAAAAATAACCATCAGACAAATATTACTATCAGTTATTTGTCCATCAACTTGGGCGAAGCTAATTTCAAAAGTAAGGCATGTACTTTTTAGACCACAAGCATTTCTCACCAAGAAATGCTTGTCTTTAAGTTTGTTCAATTGTATGCGCTTTTGAAATTTTTTTAAGTTTGTTTAGTTGTATACGCTTTTGAAGTTTATAAAACTAGTTTTGAGATACTAATTTTGCAATTTTCAAAATAAATAAAATTTAAATGTGTCAATTTCTTTTAAAAGCGTTCGAGTGATTATTATTTTTGAAATTTTTATAAAATTTCACTTATTTTGAGACTTAACATGATATGCTTTTAAAAACTTTTTTTTTTCAAAATATTAGGGACCCGTCTAATGTTTAAGGGTCTTGAGCGACCCCTAAATTTTTTTTTTATTTAGTCTTAATTTATTACATAGAACACATTTAGGGGGTGGCAGCAGACAATTTCAAAAAAAGTTGTTTTTAGAGGCACTCTACTGTACATACATACTCTAGGCTTGTGATGAAGAAAATCACTAAGCGTGTTATATCGCGCTCGTAAAATTATAATATGTTTTCATTGAGCATGATTATGCGCGCTCAGGATAACGTCAACAAGAGCGATTGTGAAATTTGAAAATTGCTGAAGACCCTGCTTTTTAATTGTTAAACGTCGTTCTTTTGTTAACAAATGTTTGAAGTAGTATCTATAACTCATGACAATACTTCAACAAAGTAGATTTTTATACTTCACAATTTCTTGAATATTGTTTGCGCCAGATTGCGATTTTTTAAAATTTATTTATGGTAAAAAAACAGCAATACCAAACAAAAATGCTTGTGCAAGTTTTTATTGATTTAGTATTGAAGAATTATTTAATTTTTTGCTTTCTTTGTTTTGGTATATGTATTTAAAAATATTACACCGTAAACTTAATCTGTTAAATAAATAAGTTTAGGCTGTTATATAAATAAGTTTAAAATGGTGTCCCACTGACCAATGGTTAATATAAAATAAAATTAATGTAAAAATTTAACTAATATAAAAATTTTATATGAAAATTAAATATAAAAGTTTTATATTTAATTTATATAAAAGTATAATTATTATGATATAAAATATAGCAAAATTAAAACTCATTGTAGAAGCAAAAGATTTTCTTCTAAAAAAAAATTTGGCTTCTTTACATTTCAATTGTAACATGTTTATTCTGCTTATTATTAGAGAACTGGGTAAAGAAAAAATGAATGCCAGACTTTCAATATTACCAGTGTTGTTAGCAGAGCAAGATAGAGGGTATGTAAGATGATTTTAATATTAATTATGTTTGTTGATAGCATAATTAAAATTAGTTTTTGTTTACTTGTTATTTTGATCAATTATTAATAAAATGGTGCTCAAAGATAATTTCCTATGTTTACCTGAGCTTAATGTAGAACATACTATTTATGTAAACAACTTCACTTTATTGTATGATTTTTATAGAGACTTTTACTAAAAAGGTAATTATAACATTCAAAACAAAAAGTGTAATTTTTGTTATTACTTATTCTTCTCTCCTCTGACCTCCTGTCTGACTTCTCATATACAATAAGTAATATGTGTCTATAGATGTAGTTTTCTAATATATATTGTGCACTTTAATTTTTAATGTTTGCTTTAAATTTTCATGAAAGATAGAAGTAGAGGAAGTAATGAAAAAATTTATTGCTGTCACAATCCTAACCCTCAGTTGGGGTGACTACACTTCCTTGCATGTTCTACCTAGATAATCAGTCAATTTATATACTTTATTTACATTTAAAAGTATTTTTAATTACAGAACTTCAAGATAATTTGAAAAGTAGTTAAAATTTTAGAAAGCAATAAAATCTTAATGATTTGATAACCATTTTGCATATTCTTTATTTGATATAGTTAATGGGCCTTACAAACCAAACGCTAAACTTAACACTGAATTGTGTTCAAAAACAACTCACTAAGCTGTATCTACAAGCTAATATTAATATGGCAAAATCAACTCAAAAAAAAAAAAAATAAACCTGAGACAAAAATCCATTAAAAAATTTCAATTAAAAAAAATATAAGTCAATTATTGCAAAATTATCATCACTATTATTACATAATTATTTTCTCTATTTAAAAAAAATTAATTTCTCTATGATTACATAGTTATTATCTATATTATAAAAAAAGAATGGTCGCCTCTGTTATTACATAATTATTATCTATATTATTACAAAATTACTTTCTCTATAATTTTCTAAACATTTATTGAATAAGACTATTGACGGCACTTTTTAACCAATTTATTTTATATTTTATATATAGAGATTTTGCAAAAAAATACTTTTTGCACAAATACGCAAAAAAAGAATTTTGTGCAAATACGCAAATAATAAAAAAATTTAATGCATATAAAACCAGGATACACAACAATCTAAAAAAAAATTAAGACTATTATGATCATATTAGGGAAAAAAAATAAGAAATACAGAAGTTGTTGGCTTTAATTTCAGCAGGGTCAGTGGTGTTAGAGCCAAGCCCTTTAGTGTGATGAGCATTAAAGTCACCAATAACAATTTAATAAAAGGATAAAGAGAGAGTAAGGGGGGGGGGGGGTAAAGAAAAATTTTGACAAAGAAGTAAGAAGAATGGGCTTAGTTAATTTTATAAGAGCTTACATCTAAAAGAATGCAGGCTTTAGAAGAAGGAGAATGATAAATAATGAGTAAGATGATAGTGTGTTTATATGCTAAGGGAAAGCATATAAAAGAATTGAGAGAGTATTCAAACCTGATTTCATGACAAATAGGTGAATTGATGCATATGTAAACGCTCAAGCCTAGTATGTGACTATCAGAGACTTTTCATATTTAAGGAAAAAGCCAATAATACTAAGATCTAATGAAGGAACAGTCAAATTTAAATTAGTCTTACAAAAAGCAAGCAAGTCTGGTGAATTTAGCTAGAGGTAAGATTTAACTGATGGAAAGTTACTTCAAAGACCACAAATATTTTTGAAAGATATATTGAAACATTTTGGTGATGGTGATGATTTTTTATGTTTATTCTTTTAGGTTTTTTTGGACAAGGTTTAAGTTAAAGAGAACTTGACTCATAGATCAAGAAATGAGTTGTGCATTTTTCTTTTTTTGAGTTTTTTTCTGTGAGTTTTAGTCCTGCTAATTAACTAAAAGTTGTAACTTTTCTGTTGCCTTCACAATGCAAACTAAAAGCACTAACAGGGGCAACATCCATTTACAATATAGCACTGTTAATACTGTTAGCATACTAACCCTGTGTTCATTTTCTGCTTGGTCTCATTTTGGTGGTTCTGACCATGCAGTGATCTCTATAAATCTTTTATCTCATAATTCTTCTTTAGATTCAACCTTCATTGCACTACTTTTCTCTCTCAGCTGATAGAAGTGCCTCATATGTAACCTCCAGGATCCAGGCAGAAATAAAAGCTATTATTTTTGTCTGTTTGACAAAATTAATTCTTGTCTGTTTTAAGTCAAGAATCATTCTACTCCATGGTTTTCACCTTCTTGTGCAGCTGCTATATCTAATCATAATTATTTTTTAAATCTTTTTCAAAAGAAAAAAACTCTTGATTAAATGCCTATTTATTATTGCAAGATATTGGTGTAAAAAGGTGCTGTCTGATGCTAAGCTCCATTATTCCCGGTTCACTAAATCTCGGATGTTATCTCAGAAGTTAGGCTCTAGAGACATTTTGAGAAATCATCAACAGCATCATTAACAAAGGTTCCAATTAAACAGGTTAACCCATTGTTAGACATTTAAATCACTTCGTTGCTTAAGTCATATTTTAATTAAACTCTTCTACAGTTTGTGGTTCAGCAAAATTTCAGTTCTTCAGTTCTGTGGAAAAGTTCTCTATAAATTATTTAATAAGTGCTCTACTAAATATTGTTTTCCTGCCTGCTGGAAAATGGCATCTGTGGTTCCAGTTTTTAAAAATTCTGGATATCATTTTGACCCCTCCAACTATCGTCTGATCAGTCTTCTATTTGTTTTTAGCAAGGTTTTTCAGTTTTTGATCAACAAATTTCCAACATCCTATCTTAAGTTAAATTTCTTTAAGTTAAAGCTTTCTGTCTGACAATTAATACAGTTTTCGATCCTCTTGCTCTTCAGCTGACTGTTGTGGCTGAAAGATTTTATGGTGAATTAGATGGAGGAATGAGGCTGGAGCTATTTCTCTTGAAATATCTAGAACTTTTGACTTAAGTTTGGCATGATGGTCTTCTCTATAGGCTTGCTTTTTATGTTATTTCTGGAAAAGTTTTTGAGATTATAAAATTATTTCTTTCTATGCACATCATTAAAGTCATCCTTGAAGCCCAACACTGTGATTTTTGGGGTACCACTAATATATGGGGTAACACTGTGACTTCTGGGATTCTATCCTTGTGCCTGCTTTGTTTCTTATCTACATTAATTATCTTCCTGACAACCTTACATCTAAATTGACTCTATTTTCTAAAGACTCAACTTTATACTCCTGTCTTGACAAAAAGTCTTCTATTTTTGATTGCTTAAAACAGACAGAGTTGAATCTTGAATCTTATCTCACTTTTGTAACAGATTGGGACTTGCAGTGGCCTGTGAGTTTTAACTCCAATAAGGGATCGTCCATAAATTACGCAACACAAAATATTAAAAAAAAAAACAGAAGTAAGAGTTACTCATTTATGCAGTGATTTTCATTAAACTTAATGCGCTATTTTAATTTTTCTTTTAAATTGAAACTCTACTATGGAAAACTTTCATCTTTTTTGTTATGTTTATTGTGAAAGTTTGCATTATGTAATTTATGGACGATCCCTAAAACTCAGTTATTTACTGCAAACAACTAGTGCTTATATTCCTTCTCTTTTATTCTCCTTTATGTCTTCTTGGATTATTGTTTACTACTGACCACTCATGGAAACCATATATACAATAGATGGCAAAGTTAACATCTGTTAAGTTTGCTTCTCTTTATTGGGCTCACCACTATTTTACTTATGATTCCTATCTCTATTTTTGAAAACTTCTTTTTTGCTCCTGTATGAAATATTCTTGGCATAGAAAGTAGAAGAAAAAGAAAAGTAGAGAAAGTAAAAGAAGAGAAAGTAAGAAAAAGAAAAATTAACTGTGATAATATAAAATGTAGCCTTGATATAAATCCGAAATGTCTAAGACTAGGTTGTAGCCCTGATAGATTGTGTACTGATAGCTGCATAATGATGCAAATGATGCATAATGATGGAAGTAAAGTGCTCTTCTTCAAAAATATTTTTTTCTGTATAAGAAACTTGCATGAAAAAGGTTTTTGTATGGAGCTGGTGAATGTTCTATATATATATATATATATATATATATATATATATATATATATATATATATATATATATATATATATATATATATATATATATATATGTATATATATATATATATATATATATATATATATATATATATATATATATATATATATATATATATATATATATATATATATATATACACACACACACACATACAGAGGTGTGAAAATTATTAGACTTAACTAGATTTTTTTTAAATAAAAATAGTTTTTATATTCTAGAAGGAATTTATTGAGCAATTTAAAGTTACATTAATACTTTGTATGCATGCCTTTAGCCTTAAGTAACTTGGTAACCATGCATAAGCTTGGTGGGTTGCCAACACTGCTATAAACATAAAAGTAATCAGCTGTTGTAAGGAGAATTTTTACTGTAAATACATTCATCAATGTATGTTCATCAAAACAAAAGCTGAAGGTGAGTTTAATTAAATAACTATGGTTAACAATTAACATATTAATGTCTATTTGCTATAACTTCCATTTTAAAATGTATGATATTTTTGATTACAGATTGTTTTTTATTTTTCTACAGATTTTGAGTTGTAGGGAGAACCAAAAATCTTTCTAGAAAAGTTGCTGTTACTAAAACATTGCTTGAAGAAAAAACGTATTCTCAATGAAAAATAACTTCAAGACTACAAATTTCACAGAAATCTGTAAGCTATATCAACCAGGGTATTAAAAATAGGCAAGATTGCAATTCTGCACAACAAGGAAATTGTGGACACAAGTCTAAAGTGAGCTTGAGAATCCAACGCAAACTTATCCATATGGCTAAAGTGAATAGAAGAGCCACTAGTGAAGACTTAAAAAAAGTCCTTGGAGACGCAGTTCTACGATTAGGAGAAGGCTAATCTTATTAATCTTCCAGTTGACTACAAAATGACAATGACAATAGCTAAAAAAAGGGCTGAGTCCATGAGGTTAAATCTCGCTTTAGAAGTGATTGGAGTAAGGTAATTTAAACATTTCAATAATTTTTCTTACACATGCTTCTTTAAACAAAAATTTCTACCCTAACACCAACCAACCCATGTTCCTTTTTCTGTCACACTTAACTGTCGATTTTCGAGATCTTTTCATTACTCATCTGCCAATTCAGGTCAATATTCAACTGTATTATTGCAGTCTGTTATATTAGCTGATTACAGGTCTGCTTCTCTGATGAATCCATGTTTTCAATATGTGATAAAAGCAAATGTGAGGAGATCTTCAAACGAAGAGTTTTCTGAGATTTGTGTTGCTCAGACTGTGAAGCATCCTACCACAGTTATGGTGTGGAGTATCATCTCAGCCAAAGGCACAGGGCATTTATATATTGTTGAAGACACAATGAATCAGCACCAGTATAAAAAAGTTTTGGAAACAAAACTGCCCCAATTGAGAAACTTGTTTTCTGATGGAGACTGTGTTTTCATGCATGATGGTGCACCATGCCATAAAGCCAAGTAAGTGACAAAGTTTTTGACAGAAAACCATGTACAAGCATTGCCAAGGCCAGGTAACAGCCCTGATATGAATTCCTTAGAGAAATTATGGGCGGTTGTTAAGATGAGGCTAAAGAAAACCAGCATTACGACAAAAGTTCAATTGATTGAACAACTTATCAAAATATGGCACCATGACGAGGAAATAAAAAATAAATGTCCAGTTTTTGTAGAAAGCATGCCAAAGCGTATAGAAATGTTACTTAAGGCTAAAGGCATGCATGCAAAGTATTAATGTAACTTTAAATTGTTCAATAAATTCCTTTTAGAATATAAAAACTATTTTTATTAAAATTAATCTAGTTGAGTCTAATAATTTTCACATCTTTGTGTGTGTGTGTTTATATATATATATATATATATATATATATATATATATATAATATATATATATATATATATATACAGAATAAAATATTTCTAAAATCTTTTTGGCTAATCTCAGTTCCTTCAATATTTGACATTTTACTTGATTTATTTTTTTTGTTTATTTCCGTGTACATACAAATACCATAATGCAATGCATTCAAGTGGAAAGATAAATTGATTTTAAAAAATAATTTAAGTGTGGTAGTAGTAGAGCACTCGCTTCATAAGTGAGAAGTTCCGAGTTCAATCCCCACCATGTCCATGAAAATACTGTGCTCAACTTGTTTCTCAGCGCAGCCGCCTTGTTTGTCAAAGATCTTTTTTTAAAGTTATAAAGTTGAGAGAGGGTTGTAACTACAATATAGTATAAAAATGCGCATATAAATTTCTGATTGGAACATAAGTCCGAATACACGGATTTAAGGTCTCAGTTTCGTTCTGCAAATTATCTCAAAATTGTTTAGAAAAGTAAACATTTCTAGAGTTTGAGAAGATTTGTGAAAATAATTGAGAAGTAAGAATATTGATATTACTATGATATAAAATCTTGGATATAAAATTTTTTTAACGCTAAATATTTTTCCTAAGCAAGTTTATCACTAACTTAAGTTCGAAATATTTATCTTACTAAATGATTTTGTGATAATTTATGGAACGGAACTGAGACTATAGACCTGTGTATTGATTGTTGGTTTTTTGTGTTATTTTAATAATTTTTTCAAATTTCTTACGAAAACTTTTTTTAGCATACTTCGTCGTTTGAAAGAAAATTTTGAAGCTGAGAAAATCATTATGAAAGACGTAGAAGGTTGGGAGCCTGGTAAAAATATATATTACACCGATAAATGGGTGAGACCACGCCCAGAACAACTTATAAAATTGTAGCTTTTGTTTAAATTTGAAAAAATTGCTTTATAGAAATGGTTTTTATTATATTTCTGTTAAAGATAAATCATACTTATTACTTATACTTGATATATACTTGATTTCAGTCCAAAACCAAAAGAACAAAACTAAAAATACTCACATCACGTGACTCTTACTTATACTTGATATATACTTGATTTCAGTCCAAAACCAAAAGAACAAAACTAAAAATACTCACATCACGTGACTCTTGACCTAAGTCTTGATACTTTTTCGTTGTTGACAACATTTTTATCTCAATAAATTCCAAAGCATTTTACCAAATGATCTCCAAGGTTTAAATAATATTTTGCAGAATGCAAATCTCTTTTTTCAATACAAATACGGTAGGGTAAAGTGGCAAACCTTCATCCCCATTGGAGCAATTGTTTCTAAAAGAGATTTTAATAAATAAGTCACATCTTTCAAAAATATATTTTTTTCTTTTGATATGATAGAATTATTTTGATGTGAAGTATTTTTACATGTTTAACAATGATATTGCTATGGTAAACTGATTAAAAAAATTAATTAGTCATGTAATAAAAGATCATTTGTACACTTTTGTCCAAGATCATCTGAATTTTTTTGTTTACTCCAACAGCATCCAATATCATCTGGAAATTCAATTACCCCAGACAACATCTTTAGGAAGATGGTTATTATTAATAGATAATTGTCTTTAAAAGTTTGTGTGCAAATGTCAATGTTGCACACCAAGTGCAATGAAAATGTAATTAATTATTAATAATTGAAAGATATACTGAAAGTGTCTATTTAATTTTATAAAAATGTATGTTTATTTATGATTAAAAACTTTTTTTTCTAAAAACTGTCAAATTAAGCTCTGGGTAAAAATTTCTCAAAAAACAAGGGGTTGCACCCTGCATCACCAAATTCGCTGAAATTTGGCACAAATGTTTAAAGATATAAGTTAGGAAAGACTGTAAAATTTTTTTCAAAAAATTCTCAACCCTTTAAGATTTACAGCAACTTGAAGTTAGTTATTTTTTGAATGAAAAAAGAGGGGGGATAAAGCCGGAAATATGTCAATTTACAATTACCCTTTAAACAAACTTGTAGTAATGTTGCGAAGCTAAAACTTGGTACCAAAGGAGTTTAAAACCTCCTGAATCTGAAAATCATAAATTTATATCTCTCAAAACAATAAAATATAGTTTATTTTTAGATCCACAAAACGCACTTGTTAATGACAATAAAAACGGCCATTGACAACTATAGTTCTAGAAAAAATCTGACTGATGAAAAAAAGTTTTGGTTTTCGTTATTTTAAATATTAAACATATATCTACTTTGCGAACCAATTTTTATTTGGCCATATGTTTTATTAAGGAGTTATTGATGTTTTAGTTTTTCAATTTTTCTAAAGATATTTTGCCAAAAAAAAAAAATTTGCAAATATATTTTGAATACAAATACAATTATTTTTGTTTTGTAATAGCTTTGTAAAAAATTTACAAAGTTATTACAAAACATAGTTGAACATTTTATAAATTTGTTTCTTTTTACTTTCATTACATAATAATAATGTCATTTTCATTACATAATATCATGTCATTAAATTTAACAATATTATGTAACTTTTGTTGTTGATTGTTTTGTTGTAATAAAACATTTATTATCATCAATAAAAAAAAGTAATAAAAATGATATAATAATGTCTAATTAACATTACCATGTTAAGTTACATAACTAAATAAAATTATATTTAGTTATCTTTTACTTTTACAAAACTTTTTGTAAGTAGTTAATGGAGAATTTACAATAATTAGTAGATAGTTAGGCATTTAAAATATGTCTATTAAACTAATAGGTACTTGTTCAAGCAATATGTTCTTTATAAATATATATTGATATGATATTGTTTGTGTTCAAGTGTACTTTTCTTGTTAGGGACATTAAGATTATTTAAGATTTTTTTGTATTAAGTGTTTAGACAGAGATTCCTCATTATATTTTTATATGGATAACAAAATTGCTGCTTTGTAAATAATTATGGAGCTTGTTATAAACAATCATATACTCAAGAAAGAAATCTGATTGAAGATATTGACAGCAATGATCGTTGAAAAATGAACAAATTACTACTTGAAAAGCTACTTGAAAAATGAACAAATCTGAAACAAGTGCAAATTACTAATATATGCACACACCATCATGATATGTTAGTTGTAAGATATAAGGGTAATCAGAAAAGTTGCTGTAATCCATTTTTGAGTCACCAAAAGGTGTGTAGAGGTAAAAATTTATATATTTATATTTATTAGGTAAAATCATTATTAATAAGTTATATAAGTTTTTTTGGTAATAAGATTTGTTCAATGTTTCATAGTTATTAATATAACAAATTGTATAGTAATATAATTACATAATATATATAATTAATGTTATTTAAGTAATGTAATTACTTTCTTTTTAAGCATCTCTACGTGTGATTACAATGCATACTGTGTTAGAAGCAGAAACCATAGGTTTAAATCTTATACCTGGAAAAAAACTTTGTCTAACCTGTCGAAGTAAAGTTATGTATTAAGTGAAAATAAAAATGATGAAGATTTTGATATTGTTAATGAAAGATCCATTTAAAATAAAAAAGAAAGTGTAGATACACACTTTGCATCTGCCGGGGTATCCCCAATTAAGGTCAAAGGACTGCACAAGTCAGGTAAAATCAGAGAAGGTAAACGAAAATTGACAGCATTAACAACCTCCATTAAAAAAAAGGTAGCCATTTCCCTTAATATATCAGAAGAAAGTTTTGAAGAACAGTCAAGTTTTAATAATGAGTATATGGAAAAAGCAAACTTGTTTGATAACATGATGGTATTGTTAACTAACAAAATTGCTACATCAACATCAAAAAAAGTACAACTTGCGACACTTGCTCCAACAGACTGGTCAATAAAAAAGGTATCTGAAACATTGCATGTAACAACTAAGGTATTTTAGCCATGCCTAATCCTAAATTAGGAAAAACTCTTCCTGATGTAACAGTTCAACTGGTCAAGACCTTTTACGAAGACGATGAACATAGCCGTATAATGCCTGGTAAAAAGGACTATGTAAGCATAAAGAAAAATGTCCACATGCAAAAACATTTGCTCTTATGTAATTTAAAGGAATTGTTTGTTGCCTTTAAAACCAAGAACCTAGAAATAAAAATAGGATTTTCAAGGTTTTGCACCTTGCGACCTAAATGGTATATTACTGTTGGTGCCTCAGGAACACATTTTGTATGCGTCTGTGCTATTCATCAGAATTTGAAACTGCTTTTACATCCTCTTGGTGTGACATACAAAGAATTGTTACCTTATATTGTCTATAACTAATAAAGACTGTATGATGAGGACATGTGAAAAATGCCCCGCAACTATGAATGCATTGGTTGAAAAACTTTATGATATACTTGGAGAATTTAAAGATAATGATGAGATTGAATTTGATCAATGGACAACAACAGATAGGTCAAACTTGACACATAATAAAGAGCCAGTGTTTGAATACATTGAACTAGTATGTAGAAAACTGGAAAAACTTGCACCACATTCGTATTTAGCAAAGAGTCAAGCATTATACCTGAGATCAAGAAAGGAAGATATGAATAAGGTAACAGCATTATTTCTGGGTGATTTTTCAGAAAACTATAAATTTGTAGTTCAGGATGAAGTGCAAAGCTTTCATTGGACAAGTTTACAATGTACACTTCAAAAAAGAAGGCATTCTCAAGCACAAATCCTATTGTATTATTTCGGATGATATGATCCATGATGTGAACATGGTTTATAAAATTATTGAGGTTGTTTGCAATGATATAAAAACAAATTTGCCTCAAATAAAAAATATTGAATACTTTTCAGATGGGTGTGCAGGTCAATATAAGAATTGCAAAAATATGTTAAATCTTTGTTTCCATTGTGAAGATTTTGGTTTTACTGCTAAATGGAACTTTTTAGCAATTAGTCACGGTAAGCAGCCTTGTGATGGGATAGGTGGTACAGTCAAACGTCTGGCAACACTAGCAAGTTTGCAAAGAGATATGGGTAATCATGTTTTATCTCCACAAACAATGTATAAATATTGCAATGAAAACATTAAAGGCATAAATTTCATATATATTTCATCAGAAGATTTAACTTTGGTGAGAACCGCTCTTAAAGAACGATTGGATACTGCTAATACAATACCTGAAACACGTAGTTACTATCAGTTTGTACTACTTGACCATCAAAAGGTAAATTATTATTTTTTAATTATACCTTTTACCATATTTTAAAATACACGCATAACTTTTATTAATAAACTCAAATAGATATTAGATTTTTGCAGAACCATTATCAAAAATATTTGTATTTTATTTTATTTCCTCTGCATTTGTTATCTATGCATTTAATAAAACATGTTTGATAAGTAAAACGGAATAATTGCATATGTTACTATTTTGTTTAGATAGACACTAAGCTATGCAGTGTTAATGAAGAATTTGCTTTAATTCATGACTTTGGAAATATCCAGATAACAACTGTAAACCTAGTACCAGGCGATTATGCCTGTGTTTCCTATGAGCAAAAGTTGTGGATAGGAGTCATTGAAGATATTAATTTAGAAGAGAAAGATGTGCTTGTAAAATTTATGTGTCCTAATGGTCCTGCACGATGTCCACATTATTTGCAAAGTTGAGGTACTGATAACAAAAACCGGACTTTGCTACTATTTAGCCAAAGAGGACTTAAAAAAAATTATTTTCCTAAGGAAGTAGAGATTTTTGTATTTATTAGTCTATTATGTCTTATCCATTCTTTTTTAAATATTATGTTTTGTGAACCAACTTGTAAATAATGTAAATGTAAAGCATAAATAAAATCACTAAAATTTAGTATTTTAAGAAAAAAATTTATACACGTTTAAATTTTGTTGTAAATATCATTATAAATTCTTAGTTTCTAATTTGATTGATTGGTAAAAGGTGGGGTTATATTAAGTGTCTAATTTAAAAA